AAACAGCATTTTGAAAAGAAACCGCCCTCCATCCTTGAAACGATTGCACGCTTATAAGTCAAATGTGCGCGGCGCGAAAGCGAGAGCCACTTATTGAAAAGGACCCATCCTCCATTCCTGAGTCAGTTGCAAGTGTTTCAGACAATTGGGCGCAGAGTTAAGGGGAGAGTCGCAGTTGCAAAACCACCCGCCCTCCATCCTTGACACTGCTGCAGGTGTTTCGAACGAATCTACTCGGTGGCAAGGCGAGAGCAACATTTGGGAAACCACCCGCCCTCTCAACGTTTGAACTTGATGAAAATCTCAAGCTTCAGGATCATGAGTGGTGAGAAAGTCTCAGGCGAAACGCCCGACCCGCCCTACCGATACGCCATGGAGTGCGACGGAGAGGAGTTCTTGATAAGGAAATGGCATGGAGGAGGAGGGGGAGAGAATGAGAACGAGGCAGAGCAGGAGGGGCAGGGGGAACCCAGAGGAGAAATGGGCGCACGTCCACCCTCGACTTGAATTGCTACCCTATGTTCCCTATGTGCTCCCCCCGTTGTCCCGACTCCATCCTCTGTCTCCTCGTCCTCCAGGAGGAGCGGAAGAAGAATGAGGAACGTGCCATTCCAATTGCTATGTTTAGAGAGGGTGTTAGGTGGCCTCCTCCTCTTCGTCCGTCTCCTCCCCCCTGATCCGTCGACTCGCCCTTCCATTTTCCCCCCTCCTCCTTTCCAGGTCTTCCGCTTCTTCCCGTACATCTGCCGCGACCGGGTGCGTTTCATGTTGCGCTTCAACCAGATATCTTTTGCAATGGGCTTGGGGTGCCGCCGCCAGCCCAGAGGGGAGGCAGTGGAAAAGGGGGGAGAGCAGGGGAGCGGGAGAAGCACCGCCGTGGCGTCTCGAGTAATAGCTCCCACGACCCAGCCGGGGATGTCTGGAGGCTGCAAGGTAGTTTGGCGCCACGCACTGCGAAAATGGAGGTTCATGCGCATCGCAAGTGCGGCTCCTCGGTTCGCGCGCCATCTTAAGGTACGTCTACCTCTGGAGTCACACACCCTTCGCGGGCGACCACTACGACGGCGAGACGTGCGGCGAAGAGCCGACTTGGTTGTACCGCTACGTTAAGGAGCGCCATCCGCTGTGATCACTCGTTTCCGATGTCTCCGACTTTGGCCAGTGTTTTTGGCATCACCATGGCGCACTGCAAAAAATACTCTGAAAGAAGGATTGCCTTGGGCTCAGGAGGGGCTCTGAATGTTCGCGCTTGTGAGCTGGGTGCGAACCTGTTCGTGGTCGAGGCTCGCCGTGGCCAGGAAAGGCCCGTCATTCCTTCTCTGGCGTTCCTCATGGCACAGTCGACCCGCGTAGTAAGGATGGGCAACCTTCCCAGGGGTACCCTTGCATTCATCCTTGGCCCGTCGGTCCATAGTTAGCGACTTTTGCTGGCCAAGCTCGCTCGAAAAGCGTTCACATGGGCCTCCAAGGCCCTTGCATCCGGACCGCTCCTCATTCTTTTGATACGGGTTGACTGTATCCCATTGAGGGCCGCTTCCTCGCAAGGTACGGATTCAGCCGGCGTGTGTAACCTCTCTTTCGTGGCTCCGCGTGTGTGCCGAGAGGGGCTGGCTTCCCTGCTTTGTCTGCATCCTCGGCCACAGCTGAATGAACGAAGGTCACGATGCTGAACCAGCGGCCCCTCTACAGTGGAAGCCCATGCCAAGAAGCACCCTGCTTACCTCCAGAGTGCCCTGTTGTTTTGGTTTTCGATGGTTTTGCGATGGAAAGCGTGACGTTCCCACACCAAAAACCAATGGACGTCCCAGGGTCTCAGGGTTGGGTTTCTCGATGAAGGTTTCTTGTGGTCGAGCTCTTACTGCACCACCTCCACAGCAACGACTCTGCAATGAGAACCGCTGTGGGCTCTAGAGAAGGGCTCTGATTTTCATGCCGCTCCCGGGACTTCGGGCTGGGGCATTGATTCGTTTCCGAGGCTCGCCGTGGCCAGAACAGGCCCATTTTATTCCTTGTTATGCGTTCTCTTCCTGGTGGCACGATGGTTGCACGCAGATGTACATTCGGCGTCCCCCCGACGTACTAATGCTATGTGTGCGTCGCCCCCCTATGGGCGACGCGCGCACCAAGAAACCTTAGAGTACATGCGTCGTGGCGGGCGCTTTCTAGCCACACCGCTCGAGATTCTATAAACTACAAGATGGGTGTACTGCATGCTCGGGCCGGACGCGCGCCTCCAAGGAGGACATATACTATTAGTATGTCATTACGCGTCCCATACATGATAGCTTCTGAGCGCATCTGAAGGCGAACGGGGCGTACGACTCATGACCTGGAATAGGGTACGGGAAAGCCAACCCCCATGACAGAGTATGCCTCACGATCGAGCGGTGGTTGCCCCCTTGCACAGTCCGGGCGGGCTTCGAATGATACGGTGGGGGCGTTCGTTAAGGAACGTGCCCAGGAGGCTTCAGACCCTGGAGGGTTCCTTATCTGATGAGGGCGGCGATGATATCCATGGCCGATCCACGATCGGAGTTCCATTGGCTTCCAGACCTCGGATTCCTTCTCCAAGGCTTCCCCAAAAAATGCTTGCGCCGTATTTGATCTGCACTACTTGTATGATGCAGTTCTGCTGCGCTAGAAGGACTCAAATAGAGGTTGTGCAACGGATCCGTGCGGTGTGCACGGAGGTCTGACTGGCCGCGGCGTGTTCACCATCACCTCTCCTTTCTCTAAGTATACAGGGGGCTTGCGCTATGCTGGCGATCCCCCGAAGAGTGGAGAAGTCAACGGAAACCGCCGTGCTGAGGTAGGAATTGCAGTAGCTGCGTTCGCTGGTGATCGGGGGCCCGTGGGTTCTTGCTACGAGCGCGGATCTTTCACTTGGGAGTCTTTTGGGCTCATCGGGGCAATGTTGGAAGCATTTGGAGCTCTCTCGGGGCCACTTTGGACGACATTGATCCGAGAATGGAGTGGACCTGATTTGCGCTGCCTCTGGGGAGCCCGACGCATCTGTTTTGGGGGGCCCTCTTGGGGCGTTCCTGGGGCGCTCCCTGGCGGTCTCTGGTGGCCGTCTCGTGGGGGGCGAGAGGGGCGGGGAGGCGATGCTGAGCCCTCTCGGGCTCTCTCGGCCGATCTTGGAGCCACCGCGAGGCCCAGAGGCCCATGGGAAGCGAAGAGGCGCGAAGGCGCAGCGAAGAGGCGCGAAGGCGCAGCCATGGAAGTACGCGAGGACCTCCTATCACGCTGGCCTTCTGGGTGCATCCCGCGGGGGGCTCCAGGGCCACGTGGAGCCCGTGCTGGGCCCCGCCCGGGGGCCTCTCGGAGGGGATGCCTTCTGGAGGATCTCGTCCGCAGGCCAGCCTGGGCTCCCTGGGGCACCCTGGAGGCCTCGACGGCCGGCTCCGGATTGGATGCTCTGGGAGCCCTGGGAGTGCGCTGGGCCGCTCCGCCCCACCCTGCCCCACCCGCCCCCGATGCCGGGACCAGTCCCGGCGACCTGGTACCAATCCTTGCTGATTGGGTCCAGTTCGGGGGCGGAAAAGAGGGGGGTGATGACTAGGGGGGGGGGGGGGATATCATGGTGGGGGTCATGATATTTCCCCAGATTTCATGGCGCCTTTTCTTATTTCATTACGTCCCTGGCCCCCCCGCTGGGCCGCGCACATGCCGCCGGTCATGATTTGCACCCCCCCCTCTTGGACACCCCCCTCTTGGCCGCTCCCGACCAATCCCGGCTGCATCCGGAGAAGTTGTGGAGGGGCCTCTCAGAAGTTGTGCAGGTTCTTCAGATTTTCTGGGGAGGCTGCTTCCGAAGCTTCAGTAGACTTTCGAAGCTCTGAAGAGCTCTTTCCGAAGCTTCCCCATCTTCCGAGAGAAGATTCTGAGAAGCTTCTGAAAAGCTTGCGGAACACTTCTGGGAAGCCCTTGAGAAAGATCGGATAAGTTTCTGAGAAGGCCCTCAGACGGTTTTACGAAGTTTTTTTTTTTTTTAAAGTTACGAGACGCCGTAATTAGCAGAAGCTTTTGAGAGGCTTCTGAGAAGCTTTGGATAAGCCTCTGAGAAGCACTTGACGTGGTTACGGTAAGTTTCCGATGAGCCCTTGAGCGGCTTATGACGCGCCTCCGAGAGCTTTACGAACATCTTCTGACAAGGCAAGCCTCTGAGAAGCCTCTGCTCAGCCTTTGAAACGCTTCAGAGGAGCTTGTAGGAAGCCTCTAGGAAGCGACTGCGGAGGCTCTGTTAAGCTTCTGGCAAGCCCATGGGAGGCAGATGAGAAGCCGCTGGTGGACCTCTAAGCCTCCGAGGGGCGCCTGAGAAGGCTCTGAGAAGGCGCCAGGAGCTCTGAGAAAGAGCGGCGTCGCATCTGACGTTGCCGCAACCGTCGAGTCGCTCGGCTCCCTCTTCCCTCCCCGTCGGCAGGAGGTCCCCCAATCCCCCGAAGGGCAACGCCTCCGATGGCGGCGCTGCAAGCCATCAGGAGCCTCGGGAACCCCCTCTCCCAGGGGAGGGGAGGGGCGCCGAACGAGTCGCAGCCTTCGCTGCTGCCGCCGCCGAGCCGCCCTGTTCCATCCTCGGCCTCGGCTGGCCTGCCGCCACGCCGGCTGTCCTGCTCGCTTCTCTCCGCGAGGGGGCAGCAGCCCAGGGCCTTCGACACCTCCACCCCCCCTGGGGGAGGGCAACCTCGAGAAGACCGGGCAGCTCGAGGAGAACCTGCGCATCAAGGTCCGCCACTTCTACGGAGAGCCTGCGGCAGAGGACGCGGAGTGAGCGGAGGTTCCCATCGTTTTTGCCGGCCGCGGAACGCTCAAGGACAACAACGTGCGATCGTCAGAATAGTAGTTGTCAGCCTCGTCTGCAGCGTCATCGCCACCGGCTGCTATCTGCGCTGCGCGATTCGCGCCACCATCATGAGAAGGCGAGGGTTTTCGCAGCGGCTGTCAATTGCTGGCGTCTGGGGCTTATCAGAGGGCCTTCATCGGTATCTCCTGCGTCGGCCATGGCGGAGGCCTTCCTGCCAAGCAGAGGGTGTGTGCAACCGCGGTCGCTGTAACCGCCCGCCCGTCCCCCCGTGGCTCCCCCGAGCCATCGTCGCGGTGAAGAGCTGCACTCCCTGATCGGGGCTTTGAGCACGGTCGTCGCAGGGCCAGGTGATCCCCATTGGCCACAGAAGTGGCCAGTTCAGCGCAGCGGTGGTGAGCAAATTGCAAGAACAAGCTCCACGGAAACATCAGCAGACTCGGGTGTGCCGGAACTCGGGTTTCGCTCTTGCCCTAAAGTTTGACGGTCCAGCTTTCGTGATACATTTGCAGCGGGAGCTCGCGCCAAATTTCGGAATACATCCCGCTGGAGGAGGGGGGGAAGATGAGACGGGGGGAGTGAAAGAAGGGAGACGAGAGAGACGGAGCTGGAGGAGAGGAGGAGGCGGAGGAGGAGGAGGCGGAGGCGGAGGCTGCGGCGGAGGCGGAGGCGGAGGCGGCGGCGGAGGCGGGGGCGGGTGCGAATGCGGCGGCGGAGGCGGAGGCGGAGGCGGAGGCGGAGGCGGCGGCTGGGGCGGGAGGAGGAGGTGAAGCGGGAGGAGGGCGGTGTGGAGGAGGCCCGCAGGAGCGGGAGGAAGGCGCGCGCGGCCGTGGGCTGCCCCCCCCCGCGGGCCAGCCGCGTGCCTCCCGAGCGAGTGGGGCGGGCGGAGGCGGCCACCACCGGACGGGGCGCCGCCGCGATGGCGCCGTCGGCGCGGGGGATCCTGTGCTTGGCCGCCCGGGCCCTGGCCGCTGTGTCCTCGGGGCGATCGAGATGGGCACGGCAAGGATGGGCACAATGCCCAACAGCAGGTCCTGTTTATTTTGAACAGGACTCGTTGTCCGCGCCGCCGCGGACGTTGGTCATTGAAGACAAAAGGCCGCCTGCCCAACATCGGCCGTTGTCGGTTTTGGACAACATTTGTTGTTCGGCATTGTACCCAGTTTTTCCGTATTCATTTCGGGCGCCCAGATGTCCTTGCTGTGCGTCGCAGTCTCCGTCCCAGACATCCGGCATCTCGATTTGTTCGAGGCACGGGTCCCCGACCCCTCGGCCACTTCCCAGGATTGCTTTTCTTCATCCCGAGCCGCTTTCTTGACTGTTTCGAGGCTCGGTAAGCGCCCCGAGAGCCGAAAATTGTGAAGAGCCTCCGCCCCATTTTTTTCGACACGCTGTATGTCGACGGTCTCCTGGGGTCCTGGGGAGGGAGAGGGAGGAGAAGGAGGAGGAGGAGGAGGAGGAGGAGGAGGAGGAGGAGGGCGAGGGGGAGGGGGAGGAACAGGGGGAGGAGGAGGTGCTGAGGAGGAGGAGGCGGAGGAGGAGGAGGAGGAGTAGGCGGAGGAGGAGGAGGAGGATGGCATCATCCTTGGAAGATTCTCATGCCGCGATCGAGTCATCGAGTCGAGGCCGAGGAGAAGGCGGGAGAGGAGGAGGAGGAGGAGGCGGAGGCGGAGGAGGCGGAGGCGGAGGCGGAGGGGAGGGAGAGGGGGAGGGGGAGGGGGAGGCGCATGCGGAGGTGGAAGGGGAGGGATAACGGGAGGGGAGCGGAGGGGGGAAGTGGATGGGGGAGGGTGAGAGGAGGGAGGGATAAGCAGGGGGAGGCGACGGGCGGAGGGGGAGGGAAGAGGGGAGGGGGGGACGCGGCGAGGGAAGGGACAGGGGCGGGGGGGGGACACTGGAGGGTGCCAGCCTCGCGCTGCTCTCTGGCGCGGGCCGAGCGCGCTCCTCGGCGCCCCACAGCGGCCGAGGTGCTGCTCTCCAACGTAGCGCCGGCGGCGGCCGCGGGCGCCCTGCGCCGGGCCGCCTCCGCCGCGGAGCTGCGGAGCGCGAGCGAGGCGCGCGCGGGGCAGCTGCGGAGGGAGGCGGCGCCCCGCCTTGCCCCTCAAAGACCAGAGGAGGAGGAGGAGGAGGAGGAGGAGGAGGAGGAGGAGGAGGAGGAGGCGGGGGGGTGGACACGGCGGAGGCCCATGCCAAGACGCGCCCTGCTTGACTGCAGGGTGCCCTGGGTTTCGTGGGCTTCGACGGTCTTTCGATGGAACGCGTGACGTCGCCACGCCAAAAAAACCGATGGACGTCCCGGGGTCGTGTTCACGCGGCGGCGCCCGGGATGACGATTAGAAATAACCGGCCGCGGGCTGGAAAACTATGTTTAAAATCGTTCTCCTCCAGTCAGAAACTTGTGCAGAAATAGCAGGAAGCTATGTTTTTAATCGTTCTCTTCCCTTTTTTATCAATCGTTATCCCGCATTAGGGTGCCCTGGGTTTCTTGGGCTGCGACGGGATTTTGCGATGACACGCGTGACGCCGCCACGCCGAAAAAACCGATGGACACGTCCTGGGGTCGCAGGGCTGTTTTTTCTTGTGGCAGGTTTCTCTTGGAGTCGAGCCCCTGCGGTAGGCTCAGGGCTTCTTGGCTGCCCCGGTGCGCCCGTCTTGGAAACGCAGCACGTGCCGTGCTCGGAGCGTCCGTGTTAGCACGCTGCATGTTGGTGCGGCAAGTGGTGGCCCACGTTTTTCAAGAGGGGAAGAAACACACAGACACAATGAATCGTCGATTTCCCAAGAAAAGATGGGAAAATATGGGACGTGGGGGGAAGACAGAAACCCCGAAAATATTGGAAAATATAGGGGGATCCTTCTAGTTGTGTGTATTTATTTGTGTGTCCCAGTTTCCCTTCAGTCTTGGCGAGCTTGTCGCGCCAAACGTGTGCGTGTGCTCACTCTACTCGTGTTGGGCTCCGTGAGCGGTGGCCCCCCGCCCCCTTGGGGCGGGGGATAGCCCGCTCAGGAGGGAAAAAACACACAGACACAATTAATCGTCGATCCCCCAGAAAGTATGGGAGAAAATGGGCAGCGGGGGGGAAGACAGAAATCCAAACAATATGGGAAAACATCGGGAATATTTTTATTTGTGTGTATTTATTTGTGTGTCCTGGGGCCCCTTCATAAGCCACCCAGATGAGGTCAGAGTAGCCGGGGTTGGAGGAGCGCGCCACGTCGCCGATGCATCGGCGACGCGGCTCGATGTGGAGCACGACATTCTCCACTCCAACGTCGCCGGCGCATCGCCGACGTCACCGATGCATTGCCGATGCATCGGGGATGCGTCGACGTTGCGGCGAGGTCGTCCGATCCCATCTGCTCCGGGCCACGGAGGGGGCCGTGGGGGCGGGGGCGGGCCAGGAAGGGGGGGGAAGACAAGGAGAAGGAGGAGGAGGGAGAAGGGAGGGAGAGAGGGAGGGAAGGAGGGAGGGAGGAGTAAGAGGGGAGAGGGAGGGAGGAGGAGGGAGGAGGAGGAGGAGGAGGAGGAGGAGGAGGAGGAGGAGGAGGAGGGGATGAGGCAGCCCCCGTGGAGACGGCTGGGGGTCTGAGGTTGCCGAGCACTGGCTCTGGCGAGGAGGCTTGGGGAACAGTATCCTGGAGACGTAAGGCTCGGGTAAGCCGGAACTCGGGTTTGCCGACGTGTACTGACGAGCGCGTCCTGGATTTTGGCGGTCCAGTTTTCGTGGGATGTTTGCCGCGGGAGCTCGCGTCAAGTCTCAGATTGGATCTCGGCCGTCCGTTTCATGATGGCCCCGTCAGGCCCACCCGAGTCCCCCGTACCCGTGTCTTACGTCTCCCCGCAATGGGTTCAAGGTTCTGTGGTCGGGAAGGACAGATTTTGAATGGATTTGCCTTCCCGCCCGGGGTCCATGTTGCACTTGGGGGCTCCTCGATGCTTCCTCCGGGAACTGCATGGGCATCCCGGGTTGGGGCCACGTGGGCGCCGCGTGGGCGCCTCGTGGGCGCCTCGAGGGCGCCTCGTGGGCGCCCCGCGCCTGGGAGGTCTGCCGAGGTCCCGTCCGCTCGCCCTCGGCGGAAGCCCCAGCCGAGCGCGGCGAGCCTCCCGCGCAGGCGCGCCGCCTCTGGGCCTCCCGGAGGCTTCCGGCTGCCGCGGCCGCATCCGCCTGGAGCAGCGGGTCCCCGCGGGGGCCTGCGCTGTTGGGCGGACTTGGGCGGGGCGCGAGGGCCGCCGTTTCTCTGAAGGCCCGGCACGATCGTGATAATAAGCATAATAACAGCAATCAGAAGTATGATAATAAGATTAAGAATAAGGATAACATGAATACTAAGAAAAACATGGAGAATGTGAGTGGTAATAGTAATGATAGTAGAACATAGGAGTAGTAGTAGTAGTAGTAGTAGTAGTAGTAGTAGTAGTAGTAGTAGTAGTAGTAGTAGTAGTGGTAGTAGTAGTAGTGGTAGTAGTAGTAGTAGTAGTAGTAGTAGTGGTAGTAGTAGTAGTAGTAGTAGTAGTAGTGGTAGTAGTAGTAGTAGTAGTAGTAGTAGTAGTAGTAATGATGAGGATTACGACGATGGTGATGATCATCATCAGGATCAGGATCAGTATCATCAGTATCATCATCATCATCATCATCAGCATCATCATCATCATCATCATCATCCATCATCATCAGCATCAGCATCATCATCCATCATCATCCATCATCACCACCATCCATCATCACCGCCATCATCATCAGCATCATCATCCATCGTCACCCATCATCATCATCCATCATCATCATCAGCATCATCATCATCATCAGCATCATCATCACCACCACCACCATCATCATCATCATCATCATCATCATCCATCATCATCCATCATCATCCATCATCATCCATCATCATCCATCATCATCATTATTTCCCGATGCCTCGCAGCGAGTCGAGCCGACCCGATACGCCTCGATCCCGATGCCCCGACGCTCCGACGCGGCCCGGTGCCCGCGCGGCGCTGCCGTGCTGTCCTGACGCGGCTGGCCCGCTTCGAGTGCGGCTCCGTGCCGGCACGGCCCGGTCTTGAGTCGGGCACGTCCCTCTTATAGGAAGAATGTTCAAAACTAGTCCAAAAGTAGTCGAGGGACGAATTGTTGTCGGTTTTTTCGGGGAAATTTTGGAGCAGTTGTTTGGCTATGTTTCCCCACAGGCTTAGTGGGGTTCTGGTTTTCTTCTCTGCCTCGTCGCACCCGCGTCTCCCGCACCTCCCCCTCTCACACAGCGCAGCACAGCACAGCACAGCACAGCACTTCCCTCTATAGGAGGAATACTCAAAAAGAGTCAACAAGTAGTCGAGGGGAAATGTTGGAGCAGTCTTTTTGGCTATGTTTTATCTTTCCTCCAACATCCGCTTGTATACGAGGACATGCCCGACCGAACGGTACGGCCCGGTGCAACGCACGTTCCAGTTCGAGGCCTCTTCTCAGCGCAGTGGTGGCCGAGCCTGCCCGTGAGGGGCGGCCCTGGCAGTAGGCGACCGGGAGCAGGCCCGCGGGGACGGAGGAAGAGGCTGGAGGATCGAAGTGTTGGGGCATGTGTTTTTTCCCAACCATCCTGTGGTGTTGGGTCCTCGTTTTGAAGAGACGGTGCCCCGCGTTCCTCTCCTCCTCCTCCTCCCCCTCCTCCCTCTTCCCGTCGTCATCATCATCATCATCATCATCATCATCATCATCATCATCATCATCATCATCATCATCATCATCATCATCGTCGTCGTCGTCGTCGTCGTCGTCGTCGTCGTCGTCGTCGTCGTCGTCGTCGTCGTCGTCGTCGTCGTCGTCGTCGTCGTCGTTTTCGTCATCATCATCATCATCCATCATCATCGTCATCATCATATCATCGTCATCATCATCGTCATCGTCACCCACGCCCATTTCGGCACACCCCTCATACGCTTCGTGGCCCCATAGGAGCTCCACCGAAGCCCCAGTTGGCAGGGTCCGGCATGCCTGGCTCCCCACCACGTTTCGGCACACCCCTCACACGTTCGTGGCCCCATAGGAGACCGAAGGCCCCGCAGCCTAGGCACACCCCTCACACGTTTCGTGGCCCCATAGGGAGCTCCACCGAAGGCCCCAGTGGCAGGGTTCGCATGCCTCCCCACCACCCATTTCGGCACACCCCTCACACGTTTCGTGGCCCCATAGGGAGCTCCACCGAAGGCCCCAGTGGCAGGGTCCGCATGCCTCCCCACCACCCATTTCGGCACACCCCTCACACGTTTCGTGGCCCCATAGGGAGCTCCACCGAAGGCCCCAGTGGCAGGGTCCGCATGCCTCCCCACCACTCATTTCGGCACACCCCTCACACGTTTCGTGGCCCCATAGGGAGCTCCACCGAAGGCCCCAGTGGCAGGGTCCGCATGCCTCCCCACCACCCATTTCGGCACACCCCTCACACGTTTCGTGGCCCCATAGGGAGCTCCACCGAAGGCCCCAGTGGCAGGGTCCGCATGCCTCCCCACCACCAAATTCGGCACACCCCTCACACGTTTCGTGGCCCCATAGGGAGCTCCACCGAAGGCCCCAGCGGCCGCGCTCACATGCGTCCCCGCCACCCATCCCGGCACGCCCCTCACAACAACAGGTTTCGTGGCCCCATAGGGAGCTCCACCGAAGGCCCCAGTGGCACCGCCCGCATGCGTCACCACCCGCACCCAATTCGGCACACCCCTCACACGTTCGTGGCCCCATAGGGAGCTGCACCGAAGGCCCCAGTGGCGGCGCTCACATGCGTCCCCGCCACACATCCCAGTACACCCCTCACGCGCTTCGTGGCCCCATAGGGAGCTCCACCGAAGGCCCCAGTAGCGGCGCTTACATGCGTCTCCGCCACCCATCCCGGCCCCCCCCCCGCAGCAGCATCATGTTTCGGGGACCCATAGGGAGCTCCACTGGAGGCCCCAGTGGCGGCCCTCACATGCGTTTCCGCCACCCATGTCGGCACGCCCCGCGCGTGTTTCATGTCCCCATAGGGAGCTTCGCCGAATGCCCCAGTGGCACCCATCTCGACACACCCCTCACACGTTCCGTAGTCCTATGGGGAGTTCCACTGAAGATGAAACCCGCAGTTGCGGTATTGACAACTGCATATGGTTGGGTTCTTCGCCAGGTTAATTCGTGTTCGGTGGGCCTCTGGCGGACTTCCCGTCGCCAATATATATATATATGCATATACACAACTATAAGCATACAACATATCCATGTGTACATCGATGTATGTATTTATGCATGTATGCATGTATGTGTGTCAGTATGTCTGTCTGCCTGTCTGTCTGTCTGTCTGTCTGTCTGTCTGTCTGTCTGTATGTATGTATGTATGTATGTGTGTATGTATTTATGTGCCGATGTATGTATGTATGTATGTGTATGTATGTGTATGTATGCATGCATGCATGTCTGTATGCATGTGTGTATGTATGTATGCATGCATGCGTGCATGTATGTACGGATGGATGGATGGATGGATGGATGGACGGATTGATGGATGTATAGATGTATGGATGTATGTGTTTACGTACGCATGCATGTATATGTGTATGTATGTATGTATGTATGTATGTATGTATGCATGCATGTATGTATGTATGTATGTATGTATGTATGTATGTATGTGTGTATGTGTGTATGTATGTATGTATGTATGTATGTATGTATGTATGTGTGTATGTGTGTGTATGTATGTAGTTATGTATGTATGTATGTATGTATGTATGTGTGTGTGTGTATGTATGTATGTATGTATGTATGTATGTATGTATGTATGTATGTAACTATGTATTTACGTACGTGCGTACGTACGTACGTACGTATGTATGTATGTATGTATGTATGTATGCATGTATGTATGTATGTATGTTTGTATGTATGTATGTATGTATGTATGTATGTATGTATGTATGTATGTATGTATGTATGTATGTATATGTGTGTGTGCGTGGACGCCGCGAAAATAATGGATATCGAGCTTCGACGCCTGAACGGCCAGGCGCGCACAGCGCGGCTAACTAGCGTTTAGTTCTAAGCGGTCCACGTGCCCCCACCAGCCCATCCAGCGAACAGTGTACCGTTCCCTTCGGCCTTACCCGGCGCGGTATGGTAGCATCTGGGTCCCCCCCCCCTTCTGCCCCTTCCGTAGCTTCTTCCTGTTGTCTCCTCCCTCCCTCCCTCTCTCCCTCCTCCACTCCCTCCCTCCCTCCCTCCCTCCCTCCCTCACTCCTGCCCTCATTGCTTCATTCCGTCCCTCACTTCACCCCTTGATACTCCCCCTCCCTCCCTCCCACCTCTTCTTACTTCTCACGTCCCTCTCTCTTGCTCCAGGGAGGCTGCAGCACCGCTCAACGATGTGGTGTTCCCGGATAGCTCTTGGAGAGCTAAAGGGGTTTGATAGTAGAAGCCGGCAGGCAAGGGTGGGCCAGCTTCCTCTCCCGGCTGCCGGTCAGGCAGCGCCGCAGGAATTTGCTGGAACTCGCGGCGTGTCCTGGAAGCGTGTTCCTACTCGTCCCCAGTACGCGTGCCGCAAACTTTTGCGCAGCTCCTTCGCAGCGCTTCCTGGGCTCGTGCGCAGCTCCGATCTCAAGCTTGGGAGGAGGAGAAGGGGAGGAGGAGGGGGGAGGAGCAGGGAGAGGATGAGGAAGAGGAGGAGGAGGGAGGAGGGAGGAGGGAGGAGGGAGGCGGAGGAGGAGGAGGAGGAGGCGGCAGCGGCGATCGCATCAGGAGCACGGGTCCTAGGAAAAGGTACCTTGCAAGCGCATCCTACAAGCTTTCAGGCTGCTTGGATTCGCCCGTGCGGGCACGACACCGCTCTGCTATCCGAGCTCTGGGCGCCACAACTCAACCGAACCTACGGGGCGGGCCATTCCCCTGTCCTCCTCCTCCTCCTCCTCGTCCTCGCCCTCGTCCTCTAGTCCGTGTTGCGGCGCGGACCGCCCGCGCGCCTCGCTTCCGCCGTCGGCGTCGTCGTTTGTCGTGGTGCGTGCTGCGCTGCCCGGGACGCGCTTCCCTTTGTGCAATGACCACCGCCACCACCACCAGCACCACCGCCACCGCCACCACCACCCCACCGCCAGCACCACCAGCACCACCGCCACCGCCACCACCACCACCACCGCCACCGCCACCACCACCACCACCGCCACGACCACCACCCCTCTCTCCTGCCCTCCCCCCCCCTCCCGCCCCCCACCCTCCACCCGTCCCTCCTCCCTCTGTCCCCCCCCCAGCCCTCTCCGTCCATCTCGGCCCGATGCCGTTCCGCCGCCGCGCACAGGTGGCCCTCATGAAGGCCCGTGGCTCCGAGGCGCGGTGCGGGGGCCTGGAGACATGGACGAGCGACGACAGGGGGAGAACTGCAGAGGAGAGAGGGGAAGGCGCGATGAACACTCAGAGGGTGTCAGAGCCAGTCGACACGGTGCGGTCGGGAACTTTGGGATAGCGTGTCGCTCCGCCGACTCCGGCCCGCCACGCTGCGGCGCGACGCGCTATCCGCTTCCCAGTCCCGAGGCGTCAACGTTCCGAGCCTTTCCGAGCCTCTCGCCCTGCGGAGCGGAGGGACACGCCGTCCGCTCGCAGGGCATAATAGCGCGTCGCCTCCGCTGCGGCACGCTAAGCAAACGTCCCTGACCATATCTGATATCTGGGTTTCGCCATTTACCCATGCATCATTCGTTGGACCTCTGCATCCTCCCGACCGTCCTCCCACAAAGCGGGAGAGGGGAGGAAGGGCTGGATTCTTCGCGTGGCTATCGCGAAGGCCTTACGGCGGGCGCCGCCGACCCTGAAGGCGGGACCTCCCCTCCCGGGACCTGCCGGAACCCCAGGGGGGGGAGATAAGGTGTTACTGCGGCCCGTTGGTTGCTACTGCGGCCCGGTGGGTGTTAGTATGGCCAGGGGTCCTCCGGAGTGTATTAATTATCAAGTACGGTGAAGGGGAGGGGGGGGGGGGGGGGGGGGGGGGGGGGGGGGGGGGGATGGGGGGGGGGGGGGGGGGGGGGGGGGGGGGGGGGGCGGGGAGGGGGGGGGAATGTGAGTAGTTGGGGGGGTGGGGGGGGGCAAAAAAGGCTCCGCTCCCCCGCCACATTTCCCGCCCCCCCCCCCCCTTCACCGAAGAGCCTCTCGGAAAAGCCTCTGGTGCTCTCCGAAGAGCCTCGTGGAGCCGCCGAAGACCTTCTTCCAGCCGCCTAAGAGCCGCTTGGGCTCTCCGAAGAGCCTCGTGGGGCCTCCGAAGAGCTTCTCGGGGCACCCGAAGCGCTTCTTGGGCTCTCCGAAGAGCCTCTTGGGCTTCCCGAAATACTACGACTACTACGACTACGACTAC